AGTACATAAAACATTACAATAAGAACTAAACATTAAATTACACTACCAATTAAACATTAAATTACAACATCAATTATAAAAATTACATAGTTCACATCTCATTGAATCTTGGTTGAGAATTTGGACAATTTCTCCTRTTATGCCCAGGTTGGTGGCATAGTCCACATCTGCGAGGTTCATCACGATGACGAACGTCCATCTCATTACGAAATCGATTTACACGCCTCCGACCTTGATGCACAGAGTTCAAATTTCTATTATTATTGCCAATGCAGGATCCGAAACAATTGTGTGCATCCACCCAACGTGTAATCCTCCACATGTGATGATTTTTCTTCTTAATTGCACGGACATACCATGCACAACGTGGTGTATAGTGCATGGTAGTAGAGCTTTCTCCACCATCTCCTAGAGTCTTACACTTTGCTAACCATAAGCTGCTTTTACTTTCGTACACTTTAAACTCTCTATTTTGGGCAATCGACCAAAGTGTTACTGCCTTTTTTACATATGCCTTACTTTCAAATTGCATTCCTAACCTTATTTTGTTTTCTGATTCACTCCAAACATCTATATGAATGTTGTTTTCCAGATCAACTATGTCATCATCTCCTACATCTCCAATATCATTCATAAAGTTCTGGAGGTTCACTCACATCATCAGAATCATTCTCAATATTACACATTGACTCACTATCAGTATCTTCACTATATTGTGAGTTGGGTTCATCAAAACCAAAGTCATTATCTGCCTTAAATGTATTATCATTCGGCAAAGGAARTGRTACATTTGAGGGATTGGTCTCAAAATTACGAAGAAGATCTAGAAAACTAGTACCTGTAGGCGGACCGCCTAGATTCATGATGATAAGTATATCMAAATGTAACTGCACAATAAATCATAAGATAAATTATATAAATATGATGCTATATATGATGTTTCATATCATTATATGCTAAGTATTTAGAAAATAATACATACCTTGGATGAATGAAGGAAAGAAAGTTGAAATTTGATATTCTAGTGATATAATAGTTGAATAATGATGAATGAAAAGTGAATAATCAAACAAATTTATAACACAACAAAATAACTGATTGGCAACTCATTCATTCATTTTTTTTGAGTTTTCATAAATAGTGACAATGTTCAGGAATCAGAATCAATTGTATGACAATTGTACATGTTCAGGAATC